CACTCCTACAAGATGTTATTCCTCCTTGCCCTATACACGAAATCACAGCTTCCCTATCTTCATCAACATTTAACAATTCCTCAAAATATTCCTTCCATCTTCCCAATACCTCTAACTCTCCATTTAATAACTCTCCTCTCCTATTTTTAACAGACAAATCCATTTGTTCTCTAGGCTTTCTTAACTTGTTAATCTCACTCCAAAACTTTTTTCTTATTTTCAACAAAATTTGTTGATAACATCTCACCCACTCTCTCATTTGCTCTCTTTTTACATTGCTTCACCACTCTCTTAACTTCTCTCTTTTTCTCCATATACTCTTCCCTCCTTGCATTTACTTCTACTTTGTAAAAACTTCTCATATGCTAACTTTTTCTCCCTTACTACTCTCTTTACATCATCATTCCACCAATCGCTCCTCTTCCTCCTGCACCACTTTCCTGTAACCCCAAACTTCTGCTGAACACTCTAACACTACATTTTTAAACCTACCCCATACCTCTTCGACCCATTGCCTATGCTCTCATTAGCCCATCTATCCTCCAATAGCTGTTTATATCTTACCCTAACTGCCTCCTCTTTTAGTTTATAAACCTTTACCTCTCTCTTCCCTGATGCTTCTATTCTCCTTGTATCCCATCTACCTTTTACTCTCAGTGTAGCTACAACTAGAAAGTGATCTGATATATCTGTGGCCCTCTATAAACATGTACATCCTGAAGTCTACTCAACAGTCTTTTATCTACCAATACATAATCCAACAAACTACTGTCATTTCGCCCTACATCATATCGTGTATACTTATTTATCCTCTTTTTCTTAAAATATGTATTACCTATAACTAAACCCCCTTTCTATACAAAGTTCAATCAAGGGCTCCCATTATCATTTCCCACCTGGCACCCAAACTTACCTACCACACCCTCTCTAAAAGTTTCTCCTACTTTAGCATTCAAGTCCCCTACCACAATTACTCTCTCACTTGGTTCAAAGGCTCCTATACATTCACTTAACATCTCCCAAAATCTCTCTCTCTCCTCTGCATTCCTCTCTTCTCCAGGTGCATTACACGCTTATTATGACCCACTTCTCGCATCCAACCTTTACTTTAATCCACATAATTCTTGAATTTACACATTCATATTCTCTTTCTCCTTCCATAACTGATCATTTAACATTACTGCTACCCCTTCCTTTGCTCTAACTCTCTCAGATACTCCAGATTTAATCCCATTTATTTCCCCCACTGAAACTCTCCTACCCCCTTCAGCTTTGTTTCGCTTAGGGCCAGGACATCCAACTTCTTTTCATTCATAACATCAGCAATCATCTGTTTCTTGTCATCCGCACTACATCCACGCACATTTAAGCAACCCAGTTTTATAAAGTTTTTCTTCTTCTCTTTTTTAGTAATTGTATACAGGAGAAGGGGTTACTAGCCCATTGCTCCGGCATTTTAGTCGCCTCATACGACACGCATGGCTTACGGAGGAAAGATTCTTTTCCACTTCCCCATGGACAATAGAAGAAATAAAAAAGAACAAGAGCTATTTAGAAAAAGGAGAAAAACCTAGATGTATGTATATATATATATGCATGTGCGTGTCTATGAAGTGTGACCAAAGTGTAAGTAGGAGTAGCAAGATATCCCTGTTATCTTAGCGTGTTTATGAGACAGAAAAAGAAACCAGCAATCCTACCATCATGCAAAACAGTTACAGGTTTTTGTTTCACAGTCATCTGGCAGGACGGTAGTACTTCCCTGGGTGGTTGCTGTCTACCAACCTACTACCTGATAATATATATTCTGGCGTATTTTTTGTGTGTCTATTCTGTTGATGTTTCACCTTACTTCATAATAGATCAATTGTGAAAGGTAAATAAGCCTTATTGTTGATAATAGCATAAGAATAGAACATCACAGTTATTGTAATGATTTTATTTTATTATTTTTGTATTTCATTTTTTACTTTACTTTTTATGCTGTTAGTACTGTATTGTACACTGTTAGTACTGTATTTTATACTGTAAGGTTTATGAGAAAACACTGTGCACAGCACAAACAGTTGTTTATTTCCGAGAACATCTACGGCGTCTAACAGTTGTAAATCGAGTGGTCATATGTCGCGCAGGTTGTAAGTCGATGGTGAATGTAATTTCTTCCTGTAATGCTTAGTTTATGTTCAAGGAACAAGTTTTTGTTAGTTCTAGCAATTAGCATTGATATTTATGGTTACATTGCATTGTAGTACCTTGAAGTGGGACTTTTAATCAAGTTTATTGCTTTTTGTTGTTGTCTTTCCTTTATGCTTTTTCATATTCCCCAATTTCTGTTTGTTGAGAATTATCTTAATATTACACTGTGCTGTATTGCAAACTTTCTGTATGAACTGGTCATCTGCTGGTTTTATGTAAACAAACTCAGTGTCAGAATTTGCTTTTGTTTGATGTATCCTTCCCTCATGGCTCTGTTACCCTTGTTTGATGTTTTCTGACTTGACGAATGTCATAATCACTTTGTATAGTTTCCACCCTTATGCTAATTTTAGTCTTAGTCCTCAGAATCTTTCTGATCCAGAGAGCATTGGGAAACAATTGCTTATGTGGTTTGTGGCTACTTGATTACCTATTTGTAGCTTTAGCTTAACGTGTGTGTGTTTACCCCTCAATGGAGGTACCTTGATGGTGAGGGGCTCTTGGATTGAACCTGATACCTCCCCATTCCCAGTGCACTGTTTGACACGCAAGTTTAGCACTTCCCTAAATATAATGAAAAAAAATAGGAGGCATGGTGGTATAAGTAGAATTTATAGAGCAAAAGACTTCTTTGAGATTCTTTGGTCAGTTAGAAAAACTGGAGTAAGATAGGTTGAGAGAGTATAAATCTAGATTTAATGGAAGATGGCGTCGTAAATGTTCTGGAACAAGTTTGAAGGAAGATGTAAATTGTTAAGGTTTTATGTAGTGGGATCTTGAGTATGTTGTAGTTATGCAAGTTCTTTCCTATTTTTACCTGTTTGTTATTACCTATTTTGTAACTGCAGGAGCAGAACTTTGCTTGTGGTGTGCCGCCTTTATTAATGTAGTCATATATTTTTTTGATATCCAGTAGCTATATCACTTTATTACCGTGTCTTTGAGTTTATTCCATTCTTCTGCCTCTACTTCTGAAAAAAAATCTGACTATTCCTTTGGCTCTTTTTTTTTTTTTTTTTTTTTTTTTTTTAATGTTTGTGACCTCTTGTTATCCCTGTGAAGGTATTAAATTTTTTTTATCCATTCTTTCATATATTTTCACACTGTTATGTCTCCTCTTCCTCTCATCTGCCAGTGTTGGCATCTTAAGCATTTTCAGACTTTTATCTCAACTTGTACTTTTTATCTCTGGTTTCCATTTTGTAGCTCTTTGCACTTTAACAATCTTGATCTACATGACTCTTTTTTTAAGGTGTGGACACTGCACTGCAGCTCAGTATTCGAATTTTGGCCTAATAGTTTCCTAACTAAAGCCAGAGTTGGCAGTTCTCTCCACACTCCCCAGATAGCCTCCCTCACCATTTTATTAGTATCATTTTTCAAATGCATTTATCTTTAGTATATGTTTGGTATGTCTGTGGGAAGTTCCCATTTGTTTGGTACAATTTGGTAAGGAAATGTTACTTTTTATTTTATGATGTTCACATGTACCTTAGTGTGCATGTGTCAATTGATCAATTTCCCTACATCCAACTAACTACACTCAGTATACCCACGTTAACTGTTTAGACACTGCAAAGACTTCAAATAATAGCAGACAGAATGTGAGATAAGTTGTACTTTAGCAATTTTTACCTCGTACATTACTAAAAACAAGATGTAAATTTGTAAGTATTTGGCTTATAAATCTGTTATTCCCATTTGTTTTTCACTTTATATAATGCTGTTCTTCATACCAAACTTACTTTCAGGAAAGTAAGCCGCATCTTATGAGAGGTTTTACTGTACAGGTCTCCCTCAACATTCGCGTTTTCCATTTCGCGGGCTTCGAACATTCGCGAATTCCCATCCGCCCCATCATATTTAAAATATGTCATTACATGTCTTATGAATTGTGGCAGTGGCAGAGTTTGTTTGGAGATAGGACAAGATAGTCCTTCAGTATGACACTAATATTAGCCCTACAGCTTATTTATCCATCACAATTCATCTAATGTGACATAATAAACAATATTAATAACATAGAAACATGACATATACTCTAGACTGAATAAAATACATCATTAAGTATGTTACGAGTGTTGCTGTGTTGTTGTTGTTGGGTGTATAAGGGCCACTGAGACCTGAGCCGTACACAATGGTGGTGGAGGCAGCATTGTTGTCAGTCGCCCTGTATAACTCCAAAAACATTGGAGGTGTTAGAAAAAGGACAGCACGAACCTATCGACTAATCGCTTAGCTTACTTGCTATACTGTTAATGCTACACTTTATCGCTGGCTGGCGCTATGGCCTTTATCGACTTACACTGATTTAGTGTCATACATATTGTAGAATCACTGAAGAAGGCACATTCTCCCCTCTCTTCCTCCTCCACTTTGGTACTCTGCTATGAGTTCTTTCTTGAATTATATAGTTTTTCTCACTTTCTTTACCAAAGGGCTGGCACTAGTACAATATTTTACAATGTTTTCATGTGTTTTATGATTGTTCATGGTTCAGTAGGTTAAGGAAGCAGTATTGTATTATATTTCCCTACAATATGTTGGGGCACCAAACATTCGTGATTTTTCAACACTCGCAAAGTTCTTGATCCCTTAACCCTCGCGAATATTGAGGGAGATCTGTATATGCATAATTGTTTATAGTTTTTTGCACGATAGTGGCTGTCATTGCTTTGCTTAGCATGTGTTGCATTATGATTATCTAATTTTTGTGTAGCTGGTGACAATTATTTCATTGCTACCCTTTATTTTGAATTAATAAGTTACTTCAAGATACTCATGTATGTTTTCCATTTCCATAGGGTCGGTATTACGAACCTCCACCGGGATTGAGTCCTGACCCCCCTAGTTCTTCACATGGAAAGCCATCAGTTCGATTAAGAAACAAACCGCCAGGAGGCAGTAGACCGCGGCCTAAAACTATGGCGGGGTCATCTGTGTCAGACACAACTGATGGAGAACTGACACCTAGTCGTGGCAAGAAAGGGAGCTCTCAAAACATTGCTGGTGGTAAGTAACAATACTGTACTGAACAGTTGTGCTTGTCTTGATTTTTATGACATCCTTTTTCATTATGATATTGAGTTGCATTGCAAGAGAGAGTGAGTTTGGTTAAGTGTATGAATAGATACCTGAAATAGCACTAGCATGCAGTGTATGCATGCTTGCATGTTTTGTCTTCCAGTAACTGTTGTGACCTATTCAGTCCCTTCTTGCTAGTAAAACAAATTGGAGCATTTTACATTGTAATTTGAAACTGTATACTATTATACATTGACCTAACTTTTCAAACATCATTATTTGGCACAGTTTATACAAGTGTCACTATGCTTGAGCTTGTTAAGCACTGTTGAATATAATCATTGCTTGTGCAGCTTAATCAGGCAAATCAATTGAAATGCACCATTTTAATGTTCTTTAAAATTAACATGAATGATTTAGCCTTTGTCCTTTAATTAACTGTTAAGAAAGGCAAGGATTTTAGCTTGGCTTGCCATGTGCACCTGCACACGTGCTTATGTGTGGTGTTGTGTGTGGTGTTGTAGAGGTTGGGAGGAGAGGCGAAGGCAGCAGATCTGGCAGTATGAGGAAGAGCAGCGGGCGGTGGGGATCTTCACAGTCGCTCACACGTGCAGCTGGCTCTCGTGGATCCAGCGGCAGCTTAGCTGGAGGTAATCATCATCTTCAGTAAAGAAAATTGTTCCATACACTTATTATTATTAGGTAGTCATAGAGAAATACTTAACAGGTATTATTATTTTTGTTGCTGTAATTTTGTTTTCCAATTTAGGAAGCCTGGTCAGAGACATGCTGTGGGGTTGATGAACCTAGAAATCATTAGCAGATAATAATTTTTTTCCTTACTTTAGTCTCCAAGTGATAGCTTGAAAATACTCCTACTTGAAGCTTTATTTATGTTCCTGAAACTAAATTTCTTGATAAATTTAGGCACTGTATCTCCTTTAAGGCTGGTCTGGGAATGTGTTTCAATACTTTCGAGGGAGGAGTCTTTCAATGAGCTCTTCGGCAAGTACACCAAATTTGTTGCATGTTCTTGTATACCAGACGTTGTGCTGAGTATTGCAGGTCCAGGACATACAGTATGATATAAATTAAGGTTACAGATTCATGTAGTAGGTTACATTGGTTTGCAGAATACATGCATTGAATAGGTCAATTGTATGAATAGTGCATTGATTTAGACCAAAACTAAAAATATACTGTTATACACATAAAAGTGCTAGTAAAACAACCAATCAAGACGTTGATGCTAGTAAAGCAATCAACCAAGACATTGACTCAGTATCATTGCACTCTTCATCTGATATGAGCAGGTAAAACAATGTACATATCTTGAAGGTGTAATGTGATCTTGTATCTTGTGACCTGACTTTTAAGTGCTTTGTGGAGATTGCCACTGACAAGAATGCGAATTACCATAGACAAATCAAGTAAAGATAAAGACAAATTAAATTTTGGAACAAAAGCAACATGCTGATGAATAAGACTCATACTCAGCATTTTGGTATCCTTATTAACCCTTTGAGGGTCGACAGGCCCTCTCCGAAACTCGTTCTCAGGGTCGGCCAAATTTAAAAAAAAAAAAAAAATTATTTTCTCTTATGAAAAGATAGAGAATCTTTTCCCGATCATAAAGACACCAAAAGTTTGAAATTTGATAGAAAACTTACGGAATTATGCTCTCGCAAAGTTAGCGGTCTCGGCGATGTTTACGCATCGGCGATTTTGCCCACTTTGAGCCCCATTTTCGGCCAATTTCACTGTACTAGTCGACAAAAAACATGAATATTTCGCTAGAACTCCATTTTTTCTATCGAATGGGTGCAAGAAACCACTCATTTATGAAATTCAACTATCCAGTACAGTGGTCAAAATTTAGCAATTTTGCCAATTTCACTCAAATTTCAAAAGATGCCAATTTCCGAATAGGGTCCAGAATAAACAAGAAAGACATTCCTGGCACTAAAATGACATTTCCTCTGGTCATTAGTCACGTCTCAAGGTCCCTCTTATATTCTTTTGCTTTCCACTTTGAATTTTTATTTTCACAAAAAATATAAGATTTACTGTTATGCAGACTACTGCATTAGTGTAAAAAATGGTATAAATATTATTGGTGCACTTGTGAAAGAATATTAGACTCACCAGTTGACGTGTATTGCACGCTTGGCACGATTTGTTTACTTTGAATTTTGGTAAAAATCGAACATTTCTGCTACTTTGAGCTCAATTTCAAGGCACCTTTCTTTGTAAAACCAGTCAAAATCATCTCAATTTCTGTAATATGTCTTCCATTCTATAAAATGAGACCAAGAAAACTAGAATACAACAATAAATACCATACAAAAATACACTGCAAAGTCGCTGATTTATTAAAAAAAAATGGTAAAAGTTTTTTTTTTCTCATTATGCACTGTGTGCTGCAGGATTTTTTTTAGACTGTGCACACTGACCACATAGACCCATTCTTTCATATGAAGGCCTACCAGCTTTCTCCCACTAGATTTGAGGCTGCTAGAATTTATGAGTACTAGTACGTCAAAAACCCCTACGCGTAAGACGTACTAGTACGACGAAAACCCTCAAAGGGTTAATGAAGCATTTTGCCTGCACAGTAGGTTTCTTCAGTCAAATGAAGAATTTATTTTAATATTGAATACAGTGAATGAAGTAGAAAAGTAATTTTGAGGTGTTAGTCCCTCAGTCTTGATAGGTGTTTAGTCCTTTATCCTTGATTGAAATCATGTCTATTTAACTGACAGTGCCTGCTGTGCATGTGAAACATATTGGCAATGAAGATACCCAAGTGTTGCACAGGTGGTCAGCACATAAGCTTGTTAATGTGGTAAACTTTATCCCAGCAGTCTTTCTAACAATTCTCCTCTCTAGAAGGTTGGACTAGGCATTAAAGCACAATTTAAATTATAAGTTGGGCAGTAGAGCCATTCTCTGTGCGGTCCCCGTGAGATGCAGCTGACAGCGTACATGGTGTGCAGCTGGAGCAAAACTGACTGCCCCCAGGCTTTCAAAATCGAATGCCCTGGGGCCATGACTGTATAACTCAGGTTGTTAGTCACTGTGACATTCATAAATTTGAGATTGTAAGACCTAGTGAGGCAAGGTCTCAACTCTTGACAATGATCCATTGCTGACTTAAGATATGTCAAAAAAAGGCAATACATAGAGAATCTGTTTAACATACCCTCTTTCTGTCCTACTTGGTAGGGGTACCAATCATCATCTGGGGTCACATAGGCACCCCTTAGGAAGTGAATGATGAGAATGACAAGTGGGATAAATTCCACCACAAGGATTGTATACTATACCATAAGGGTTTATTCAACAATTTTTATAATTTGATTATATCATCAACAATTTGCATCAGTTATCTTATTATTTCACTGTATGACCCTTTTAGGTTCAGCCCTTCTTTTTGATTATAATAATAATAATTATATTTGCATTTGCATTATAATTGACATTTTTTGCAGCTCTGAGAGAGAGCTGTTTTGTTGCTTCTTATTATCCTTTTGTTTTTATCTTTAATATAAATACAGGCACCACACTGCCTCTGCATTTCCCAATTTTTTCCCAATATAAGTTATGAACAGCATTTTTAGCTTTTATCCATCCATATATTTAAAAGTTTATAATAATTTTTTTTTAACCCTTCCGTTGTCTGTGCCATAGTATTACAGGTTTGAGGTCACTGTCAGTGCCATATTACTACACCATGAGCTCAGTTCACTTGGATAAGCTGTGAGCAGTAAATTTGGGCCTAGATAAGAGAGAATACATCTGTGCAGTAATTGTGCACCATATAAAAAATCCTGCAGCACATAGTGCATAATGTAAAAAAAAAACTCACACTGTTTTTGTTTAAAACAGCAACTCTGCAGTGTATTTTCATATGGGTATATTCTCTATTTCTTGGGCTCATATGATAGATGGAAGATATATTATAGATATAGAGATGATTTTGATTGGTTTCAGGATTGAAAATAGCTTGAAATTGAGCTCAAAGTAGCAGAAATGTTAAATTTTTGCCAATATTCAAAAGTAAACAAATCACATCACTTGTCCAGTACATGTACAACTGGTGGGTCTAATATGCATTAACAAATGCACTGATATTATTTATACAATTTTTACAATATTGCATAACTAAATCTTTTTTTTTGTGTGTGTGTGTGTGTGAATAACAACTCAAAATGGAATTCATATGTAAAGCCTTGGAATGTAACTAATGAACAGAGGAAATGTTATGTTAGTGCCAGGAATGCCTACATTGTGTTTTTCTGGACCCTACTTTGAAACTGTATAATTATTTTGAGAATTCTTGGACATTGTGGACAAGTTTAATATCGGGGGTCTGGACAATGAAAGGGTTAATGTAGCATATGAATTCTTCATTTATATGATCTTCCAGTGACACATTTTTGATAACTTTTAGGTCCCTTGCTTTCTAATACAGTGGTAACTTGAGTTTCGAACAGCTCCCAACTTGAACAATTATGTAAGCATATTTTTGTAAGCGCTTTTTTAAGCACTTTTAAGGGAACAAATTCGTTTGGCATCGGCACTCAAACAGTTTCTGGAACGAATTAAGTTCGTACTTGAACCTTGAATTGTCCATCACATACATCGTGGCAGTCTATGATGTACTGGTATGCTTCATTCATAGTGCCCTCTGATTTGCTGCCCTGGGTTAGTTTGGATGGTAGAGCATCAGACTGTCAATTTACGCACTGCAGACTGCAGTTTGAACCTTTTGCCCACCCTTCTATTTATTCATTGACAATTGTTAATTACAACTTAATCTGAGTTCATGAGAGAATGGATTAATGATGTTGGTGTATGCAGTATACATATTAAACCTGCCCCACACAGAGCATTATGGGAACAGCTATCTCTGACCATTCATTTAGGTTAAATTGGTGAGTTTGGGGCATTTTCTATGGTGGTTTTAATGACTATTGGCTGTTTCTTGGTGCCAATACATAGACTAGGTAAAAGGGTAAGGGCCCCAGTCCTTCCCACCATCCCCTCCCTGTCTTTTATGTTTTTTTGCTAGGTTGACTTAAGTTATTGGGATGGTCTAAACCAGGGGTCCCTAACCTGTGGCCTGCAGGCCACATGTGTCCCTTCTAGGAAATGGATGTGGTCTTCACATGTAATTATGAATTCCTTTTATGTAGGTCCCACACTGCAGTGTCAATACAACCATGTGGCCCTCATCATACATTTGACCATAAAATGTAGCTCACTTGTATAGGAAGGTTGAGGACTACTGGTCTAAACCATGAACAAGCATTCCTGAGTTATGATTTATTAACCAGAAAAATTGGAAACATTGTCAATTGTTTGTGTGTGACGATAGATCCAAAATGGAGGGCAGATGGTATATAGGAGAGGCCTGGGGACATAATGAACAAAGTGAGGGTTGCTTTAGTGGCTGGAATGCCTGCAGTTTTTATTCTGGACTGTTTTTAAATTTTTGAAACTGGTGTAAAATTGGTTGAATTACCAACTTCTAGGTACTTAAGGTAGTTCTGATGGTTGAATGGCAATTTCTTGCAGGACAAAAGGCATACTAGAAAAATAGCTGGGAATCAAGGTTAACTTGAGCATTGACATGTGCCTCAAATTGGGTAAAATTGCCATTTCATAAAGTGCTTCCCAATCTACCCAGTCTATAACTTTGTACCTGCATAATTCCATAAGTATTACAGCAAATTTTACTTAAAGAAAAATAGGAAGGCCTTCAGCTTGAGGTATATGGACAGCTTAAGGGTTCATATTATACAGGTTTCCTATTCATGGTGTTCTGGTTTAATAGGTTGTAAACTCACATAATTGGATCCACCTCTCAACTTTTGACTACTGACATGATTAAACCTTGTTATACCTATTTTGAATCTCTAGAGCATTTGCTTTCACTGTCATTATGTAGCTTATTGAAAAAATACTATGTTAAATGAGGTGAGAGGTAGATGTTAAGTAACTTCATTCCCTGAAGTCTCATTAGTTAAAGGAATTTATCAGTTGATCTGTCACTGTGTTTAGAAAGAGGTAAGGGTAATATAAATTATTGTTTTGAATTGGTTTATATACATCTTTTCATCACTTTGGTAAGTTTAAACTTTTTACCAGCTTTGTTTTAACAGTATTTTAGTGGCCTGGGAGTTTTGAATAGTTCAAGAATATTCACATACATTGTGTTTAAATTTTGAATATTATAGATGCACTGTAGGTAGGAGAAATTTATGGTGTAGTATAGATTTCATTGAATTGTATTGGTAGGTACACTCTGAAAAGAAACTAGGATACCTTTCACATTTGTCCTAATGAAGTCAAATCATGCCTAGTTATTTTGTTTTTCTAATTAAAAGTTTATAAAATCAATAATAACTTGCTTATCCTGTAAAACTGTTGTAGCTTAGCATTCTCTTCCTAGATATGTAACAAAGTAGTTTTTTGTAAAGCTTTTGCTGCAAGTAGTATTGCTTAGATTATGTAGTGTAAGTGTTGTATATTCTAAACTGTTTTATTTTAATTTTCTCTTAAAACTCAAAAGATGCTCATGACTTTTTAAATCTTATAAAATGTAATTCAGTTGTGGCTGTATTATGGCTGTTTTGATCAGGTTTTAATAATTAAGTAGGGAAAATTCTGATTGAGCATCTTTCCCTTGCACCAGTTTTATTTAGAGTATTTTGTTTTATTTACTTGTGTATTATTTTTGCTGTACTTTATTTTGAATTGCCTCATGGCATGTGCACACCTCTATCCCCACCCACTAGACTATCCCAGCACGACCCGCACCTTGGACCGTGGCCACACAGGCAGACGTCCCACCTCTGTTATTGGTTACTCCTCAATCACCCGAGGGGATGGCAGGAAAACTTCACGTAGGTCTTCAGATCTTTTTGTGGTTTGCATGTGTTGCATTACTATCAAAATTGTATTCGCCCCCTCTGATTGGAAGAAGCAAGGAAAATTTTGTAGTTATAAAGTGTACAAGTAATTAAACTATCTATGCTTCTTCCAGTCTTTACTTTTTAATATTTCTAATGATTTTATAGCTTAAATTTCAAGTTAAGAAAGTGAAATTTTCATTATGTTTGCTACAAATGGTACTGCCCCACATGCCACAGTGTATGGCTCCCAAGGCGATGGCCTCAATTATGGTGAGGATTATCGTGTACATGAGGCGCGCCGACCAAGCCTGGCCCTGGAAGGCAGTGGTTCCAGGCTGAGGCGAGGATCTGCCTCCTCCTACAACAATGTTGGCTCATCTGGAGGATACAAAAAGTACCGGTCAACAGGCAATCTGAGTGGTAAGCCCCACCTGAGAGGCAGGCATCAATCTGCCTTCCCAGTAACTGGTGGTGGTGGTGGCTAATTTGAACAATATTAGTGTAGATTCTACCTCGTCAGCTTCTAAACCATTCTGGTGGTGGATGTAAATATTTAAATTATTCTTACCATCATCTTTATACTAACAGGCTAAAATGTGGATAATGTGTAGCAGATAATTCTCTAAGTAATAGCCATAGTAGCATGTGATAGTCTATAATGTGGTGTGTGTTATTCATAGTAACTGTTAAGAAAATTTAAACATCAAAGCACAAGTTGCATGTCCTAAGTGAAAAATTGTATAGATATATTAAGAAACTGTTTCATTATTTTAAAAGAACATTGATGCTCAAGATTAATTATTCATAGATTATCTCTAATAACTTTAGGCACAGAAAAGCTTGTTAAAGTACGTACTAACCTTGCTTCCAACTAATTACACCAGGAGAAAATTGTCCTCAGTGACCCAGAGTGATTGCGATTAACAGTTTGTACATATGAAGGCTGTATGACCTGTAAGGGTTTAGAGCTTTTTTTTTTATAATAGTGTGGCTTTAATCTCCCAAAACTTCTTAACTTCATTAAATTCCATACCACTCATTGATGCTAAATAGCTGTAGTGTCTAAAACTGTGCCCAAATGTATAGAAAAAATTATACATTCTAAACCAAAAGGTTTTGAATGGTTAATATTGAGAATAATGTTCACTGGTAAAGTAATTTTGAAAGAATTTTACAAGAATTTATTTGAGAAGGCTATAGGTAGCTCTGATGCTGATTGCGTTTTATAAATTTTCCCTTGTAAGCTTTGTATATAAAAATTCTTTGATCAAGAGGCTACAATGGTAAAATGTTTTTGTTACTTTGCTGGCAGGACTACGTACAAGAAGTATGTTACATTGTATATAAGAACTTGTAGTGCATTGCAGTAGAATCTGTTATCAGATTTTTCAGTAGCATTTAAGATAATTATAAATTTTTGTAGTATTTAAGATTACATATTTTCTTTGTGTGTGTACTTGCCTATTTGTATTCACCTATTTGTGGTCACACTGTGTGACTTTGTCAGTGGTCCAAGTCGGACCGAAACGTCGTCGTAAGCTTCTCTCTTTTATGTGCGGGTTATTTGTGTATCCTGACCCTTGTCTGTTAACTTGCCACTCTCCAGATTCACTCCCTTTCAGCTCACGGGCCCTATTATATCTGCTCTTAACACTATATATGGAGCCTGCCTTCAGTGCTTCCTCACCAAAATCATTCCACTTCCCAATCCCTGAGACTGAAGAAATACTGCCTAGCATCCCTGTGGCTCATCTGTGACTTTAACTTCCATTCTGTTCCCAAGTTCCTGTTTCTTGCCTTTCAAACTCTCTCTCCCTGTCTACCCAATCAATTTCCCTGACTATTTTATTTATCATATCTTTCCTAGTTCTTCTATCCTCCAATGTAAATAATAAACTGAATTGTTATAACTATGACCATAATTTTTAAAGGGGTGGACCAGTAAGCTAATGGAAGGCCTCGGTCATATGATCAAAAGCTCCAATGGTGGGTCATCATCTGACTAAGACCCATGTCAGGAGACACTTGTCCTATTGCCTTACGAACCTTACCTAACCCAACCTCTAATGTCGATAGATTCATTTTCATTAGCCTCCCCTCATAGTTTGTAACCCTTAAGTTTCGAACAAGCCTCATTGCATTCTTGTACAAATGTTTTTTTTCAGGTGTAGGTTCCATACTGGTGCTGTGTATTCCAAGATGACCCTGATGTATGTTGTATAAAGGGCCCAGAATGACACTTTGTTGGGATTCCTGTAGGCTACTCAAAGATTTGCCAGACAAGCATTGGTTGCAGAGGTTATTTGGTTGATATGAGCCTCTGGCAATATGCTAGGCGCTATGGTCACCCTTACGTCTTTCTCCTTGGGTGAGGTCTGCTGCCTCTCCCTGTCAATATTCAAGTGTTCAGTCTAATGACTCCTTCCCCATTCTTCATAACTTTATATTTGTTGGGCTTCAGTTCATACAACCTCATATCTGATCAGTTTTGCAGTTTGTATCCTCATTAGTTCCACACAGACTCCCTTAGTACTGTACAGGCTATACAAAAATTTGACACACCTCACCCCCTAGTTCTCTGTATCCAACTTTGGTTACGCCGTATCTCTATCAAACATAAAGATATTGTTTTTTGTTGGGTCCCTGGTCATGTTGACGTACAGGACAATGAACAGGCAGACACTGCTGCGCGGTCAGCAGTACATGACCTTCCAGTTTCATATAGAGGTGTTCCATTCATGGACTATTTTGCTGTTATAGCTACCCACCTTCACACCCGTTGACAACAACGTTGGCCTGCTCTGCTCAATAATAAACTTTGTTCTATTAAACCGAGTATAGGTTACTGGCCGTCTTCTTGTCACCAGTGTCGAGGTTGGGAGACTACTCTCTCCCGCCTTCGCATTGGCCATACTCGTCTTTACTCATGGATATCTCATGGAGAGGCACCCTGCTCCTCTCTGTGAGAATTGTCAGGTTCCAGTATCAGTCAGCCACATTCTGTTAGACTGCCCACTTTATCAACGAGCACGCAGAATTTACCTCCGTCGTCTTCGCTCCGCTGCTCTCTCTTTACCTTCCCTTCTCGCTGATGGACCCACCTTTCATCCGGGCTCTCATTGACTTTTTGACAACAACTGACTTACTCCACAAACTCTGATGATACCTTCAACCCTTTCTACCTCAATCTCTTGCTACTCTCTACCCCTGCACTATCCCCTGCCCCACTGTTTTCTGTAACCTACTAATCATCCCTCCCTTTTTCTGCCGCCCGATACCCTCGCTTCCTTCCTTACCCCTGCAGCGCTCTATAGCCCTTGTGGCTTAGCACTTCTTTTTTATTATAATAATAATCCACATCATCAGCAGACACACATCTGACTCCTTCACATTTGGTTTATCATTCATATCAATGGAAACAGAATGGGTCCAAATACCAGTCCTTGCAGAATCCCCACTTATTACTCTTCTCCATTCTAATTTCTCTTTCCAGATTATCACTCTGTTTTCTTTAATTTTCTCTCTTCCCTTTCTCCTCTGTCTTCCCCATTTGGTCTCTTGTCATTTGTTTCTTTTCTATCCTTTTTAGTGGTGACATTTTTCTCTGGTACAGTGGGGCTTCAGTGATGAGCAGGACATAGTGTGATGGGATTTAGGTGGTACAGTAGGACATGGGTGGAGTGGTGGGGCTTCAGTGGTGTGGCAGAGAGTGGGTGCTGTGGTTGGGTTTGGTTGTGTGGCTGGAGCTTGGGTGACGCAGCTGAAATTTGGTAATGCGAGAGAGCATGGATGGTGCTGCAGGACTTGGGTGATGATGTTGGGTAGTGCGGCAGGGCTTGGGTGGTGCAGCAAGGTTTGGGTGGTGCAGTGGGGCTTGGGTGATGCAGGAGGGCTTGGATCTTTTGGTAGCACTTGGGTGCTCCAGTATGAGTATGCAGTTGGTCTTCAGGTGTTAGGACAACTTGAGGATGAGGTAGAGCTTCCAGGGGTGAGGCAGGACTAAGAGGGGGGGGGGGAATGTAAGACTTGAGGTAGTGGGTATGACTTGATGGTGTGGGTAAGACTTGATAGGATGGGTAGGACTTGAGGGTACAAGGCAAGATTTGTGGGGGAGGGGAGCAGGACCTGGGGGTGACGCAGAGTTTGGAGAGGTAGTCGAAGCAGGATTTGTGGGGAGGGGTGAGGCAGAACTAAGAGATTCCATGGTACTTGGGATCAGTAGGAGTGCTACATCAGCATGTTAGTTTTGTAATGTTATCATCATGCATATAATTGAAAGCAGTGAGGTTAGTTAACATCAGTACTACTGTAAATATATAATTAGGTTTGAAACTGTAGGTAAAAGATGCATGTTCACTGGTCAAGACATTAAGGAAATGTTTTGCCACAAGTTGCTTCTTCACTCCTAATGAAGAAGCCACTTGTGGCAAAATGGTTAAATATCTTGACAAGTACAAACGTCTTTTACCTACAACTTGTCAATGTCACATACCACATCCGCCACCATATTTGAGACTCTAGAGGAAAACTTGCCATATAAATAAATTCTAAGATCATTTTTTTTAACCATGTTTATTTTCAGAGCAGAAGTGTTTTACATGAATGCACGAGTGCTTCATCATTAGTGACATTTCATTTTGAAAGTGTAGAATTTTATATGCAGTGTGTATTGTATGAGACAATTTGTATTGCAAATGTTAGGATCAGTGTTTCAAAGTTCAGCTGTACTAGACCCTCAGTATGCAGTGCTGTATTTCCGTAGGCTGATTTTTGTGTCAGTCATTGGTGACTCAGAATATCGTAGCATATTTTCTATAGATAAAAATAGTATGGCATGGCAAATAATTTTGATCTGCTCATACCTAGCCAAAAGATGTTAAAAAATAGGAGAATTATATTTTTATAATTAGTTACATATTTATTATTATTGGTCTGCAGTTTTTAATGAATATTGAAGTTTTCAGAGTTCTCTAGTATATTACAATACTGTAAGTGTATATAAAATTATAAATCTAACTTCATAATAAATCATTAAATTTTTCATTTTAATCTTTAGTTGAAATATGTTTCACTTTTTAAAAACATGATGTATATTTAATTGTTTACACTCTGCAGGTCAAAGTGAACATGATAGCTTAGTATACCACATGAGTGAAGATAGTGGCCTTGGTCGTGCTACTCCTCCTCGCCGTGCTCCTTCTCCAGGAATGGCACGTCACCTACCTTCACCATCTGGTCCTGGTTCCTTACCTCCTGGCCTATTCTCTAAAAGACGGCAAGGTGGATTTGACGATGCAGCCAGTGATATCTCTTCCACCGCTAGTTCCACAATGGACTATTATGGTAAACTTTGTATTCTCTTGCTAATATCCAGTGTGCTATTGAGTGACAAAAATTATGAAAAGAAGTGGGTATCTATCTTGAGCTAACAGTTAGAAAACTCAGGTTTTGAAAATGCAGTTAACAAGAAATAAAACAATGAATATTTCAGTTCCCATGCTGGGTTACTCCTCATTACAGAAAATGTCTTTAATTCTTTCTCTATAATACTATTTCTTTTTGGGCAAGTACATCCCCACCCCTCAGAATTCAGTGAGATACTGATGATCATCTGTATGTGGTCCCATAATCTATTGAATTATTATAGAGACTTTAATACAGATTTATTGTTTTGGTTAGAGGTGAAAGCCTGGCTGAAAGAGTAGGGCATCTGTTATGCAATTTGTAGACTGAGGGTTGAGCTTCCACAACTCTATGCCAAATGACCCCCATGGCTTCAGTGCTTCACATACCGTATTTTCCGGCACATAAGACAGCGATTATGTGTGAGTGAGGTGAAAGTGTTGAATGATGATGAAAGTATTTTCTTTTTGGGGATTTTCTTTCTTTTTGGGTCACCCTGCCTCAGTGGGAGATGGCCGACTTGTTAAAAAAAAAAAAAACTGTTTCCAAGCATTTGTAATGTAGCATTAGTAAACAACTGCTAAAACATAACCCAAAGCCTACCCTTTGACCCTGACCTTGTGTATATTAAGACGAGGTGATTTTCCAGGACTTTTTGCGGGGAAAAAAAGCACTCCTTGTATGCCGGAAATTACAATAAAATATAATAGTAATAGTACACAAATAACCTGCACATAAAAGAGAGAAGCTTACGACGACGTTTCGGTCCGACTTGGACCATTGACAAAGTCTGTGTGACTTTGTCAATGGTCCAAGTCGGACCGAAATGTCGTCGTAAGCTTCTCTCTTTTATGTGCGGGTTATTTGTGTATCGTTCCAGTCACGGTATTGTGCCTTTTTTGTTATTTAAAATAGTAATAGCTCTGGTTTGAGGATCTTTACACCAGATTGGTGATATTCACTTCATAAAAAAGTCTTTATAATGATTGCTAGTAGTATGGGACATTGTTTTGGTCTAATTTGATCATGTATAGTTAACTGGGGGGGGGGAGAGGAAAAATGCATTAATTTTCATCTACCTATATTTCTAAGCATAAAACCGAATTTTTTAGTTTACCCTGTTGGCCACATATATACCTATAGCATATAAATTAATCTTTTAGTCCATCTATATGAGAAGAAATAAGACCTTTTTTTTTTTACACTGGTTAGGGGTGGGTGATAAAGCATAGCTTTTGGGGTAAATAAATATAGCAAAATAATACAAAATATGTATTTACGGTAGAACTCCCATATCCGTGGATTAAATTAGAGATGATTTTAGCCAGTTTCAGGACTGGATGTAGTAGGAATATCTAATCTAATTTTTGACAATTTTCCTGAGGATAGTCAGGGTATCCCTGCACCCCCAGTCTGTTTTATGGATTTTTAGTAAGTCTTGATTCAATTATTGAGATGCCATAAACCATGACCAGTCATTCCTGGTTATATTTTGTTATCCAGGAAATGAAGTAAGTCTTCTATATTTGTGTGATTATGAATTAAAAATAGAAGGAAAGTGTAATATAGGAGAGGCCTGGGGATGTGCAACATACGTAACAGTAAGATAAACCTGTTCACTGGGATGATTTCACTGAAGACCGGGGTAGAAATTAGCCGATCTGTGGACCAGTATGCTTTTATATTATGCTTATAGACATGAGGCATAAGCATTATTGTTGCAAAAAGCAAATACATTTCTGCAACAGTTGTCTATTTCCACCAGTGTGGTCTTGACTGTGGTGATGTGATCGTATTTGCCATGGTGTACTCAAAATACTTATTACTTTCCCTGACAATAGTTTCCATCAATGGCTGGTCAAAGAATAATTCAAAGAATTCCAGTTCATCTGCAGTGTTTCCAAGGGGACAAGTTGGTAGAATTCCACTTTGAGAGTCATCAAAGTGGTGGGGCTTGGGAACAAAATTGGGATTTTGCTGCCAATCCCAGATATGGTTTGCTGGTGGATACTGGACATCATAGGCTGGTTGCGCGGGTAGTTGTGGTTGTGGTGGGCTGGTGGCTGACGCTCCGCTTTGTCCTTGAACTGCGGAGTCAGCAGCGTGGGTCCCAGCCTGGGCTGGTGAGTCACGCATGGCCGTGGCACTACCATCATCCCTACCACCATCTAGTGATGCCTGTGGTCTATCCATGCCAAGTGTAGCCACATCATCCTCACTATCACTATCCATACCTGGTGTAGGGCCATGGGATGTACTCTGTCCCCTGGGCACAGCATAGGGTACACTACCCGAGCGCATGCAGCGGCGTACATACCGACACTTCATTGGTGAATATGATTGCTCACTATCACTACTCGAATGATCGTCAAGAGCAATAAAATCACAATCCACATCACTGTCATCATCATTACTGAAGTCAGAGGCCTGGCCACGTGAAAATAATAGTTTTCTCTTGCGTTGAGGTACAACCGACCGTGACTGACGAGTGCCCACACCAGAGGTAGAAGGTTGAGGATCGTCAGGGTTTTCTGCAATATTATCGATATCCTGGTCATTCCTTTCGGTCACTAACTGATCAAAGCCAAAGAATTTGTCTTCATTTCCACTTCCATCACTGTCAGAACTATCAGATAGGAACAGGAGAGTCCCAATTTTCCTTGGAGTGAGAGCTGCCTTGCGACGAGGCATGGTGAACAAGGGTAACTGAGCCGGCGTTCCCACAATGCTATGCGGGCGCCTAGATTTTTTGTTTATGGCGCACACCCACCACGCAGACCCGTTCTCTCACATGTAGGCCTATGAGCGTTTTCGCGCTAAATTTGACGGCGCTAGAATTTTGGCGTAGATCTACAGTTCGGACACTAAACGTGACGGACGGACCCTGAAAGGGTTAAAATAGAACTCGGAGTGGGCAGAAATCGTCAGTGCGTAAATTTCACCCAAACTGCTAACCTTGCACCTACGCAATTCCGTAAATTTTCCATAAAATTTCGTACTTTTAGTGTCATTACCTTCAGAAAAAGCTTCTTTACTGGGAGCAACATTAATTTTGGGGGTCTGGACAGTGAAAGGGTTAAGGAATTGTGACCTGTGATTGGGTACATTACCTGATAGCATTCAGTCCCTAAGAATGGAAAATCATGAAAACCAGTTTAGTCATGGTGCTTAGGGAGTTAGGTTTGAGGGTTTATTCTTATATAAGTTTTGCAAATATTGATGTAAGTAGCTTTATTGTGAAAATCATACATGTGTTAATTTATTTTTCAGGTCCAAAATTGTTTAAACAACCAACAGCTAAGTCCAATAGAACAATCATCCTGAATGCAGTTGAATATTGTGTCTTCCCGGGCATGGTAAATCAGACTGCCAAACATAGAGTTCTAGAGGAGATAGCACGTTCCGAGTCGAAACACTTCCTTGTCCTATTCCGAGATTCTGGTTGCCAGTTCCGAGCCATATATTCCTTTAACCCAGAGACGGAAGAGGTGTGCAAGCTGTATGGTACAGGTCCTAAACAAGTTAATGATAGAATGTTCGACAAATTCTTCAAGTAAGTGATCATCTTAGTACTTTTTTTCATTCTCTGAATGGTACAAATTAGCATTATAAGATATAGTACAAGTCTGATAAAATGGACAAATAGGGGAGGTGGTGTCCAGTTCACTGAAAATTCCATTATATTGAACGTTTCAGTTAAGCGAACATAGTCCACTTAGCCAACTATGGGACATGGACAAGTGTCTTTAACCCTTAAACTGTCCAAACAGAACTACGTTCACATGCGTAGTGCTCCAAAAGTAGATCTACATTTTTTACATATTTTCAAATACAACAAAAAAAAAAATGTAACCAAAGTTTTTTTACACATTTTCAACTGTAGAAAAAAAAAAGGTCTACCTTTTTATACATACATTCAAATGTTGAAAAAACGTAGATCTATGTTTGGACAGTTTAAGGGTTAATAAAACAGATTTAGTACACTGTATTGATGACACCACTGGACATGCAAAAAAAAACTAATGTAAGCTTTCTTTCTTCTTTCTTTTTCTCCCACCCCTCTCTCTCTCCTTAATGGAAATATAGAAAGTCTGCTTGCTTGTCCATCTTAAATGGAGTAATGGTCAAGCATGTGTTCGACAGTCCCTTGATATTATGAATTGTTCTGCTCCATGGCTATTTTAACCCTTTCACTGACTGTGTCATCACTGACCAGATTCGAGGTCACTGTCAGTGCCGTAGTACTACGCCATGAGCTTAGCTCACTCAGATAAGCTGTGAGTGGTAAATTTGGGCCTTGATATGAGAGAAGGGGTGTATGTGATAAGTGTGTACTATGTAAAAGAAAATCCTGCAGCACGTAGTGCATAATGAGATAAAAAAAAACTGTGACCATGTTTTTGGTTTAAAACAGCGACTCTGCGGTGTATTTTCATATGGTTGTATTCTCGGTTTCTTGATCTCATTTGATAGAACTAGATATACTATAGAATTAGAGATGATTTTAATGGATTCAGGATTGAAAATAGCTTGAAATTGAGCTCAAAGTAACAGAAATATTTGATTTTTGCCAATATTCAAGAGTAAACAAGTTACGTCACTCGTCCAATGCCCGTCCAACTGGTGGGTTATACAATTATTACAATGTGTTGCATAACAGTAAATCTTCTATTTTGTGTTAATAAAAAATAAAAATGGAATTCATGTATAAAGCCTGGGAACATAACTGATGAACAGAGGAAATGTTATTTTAGGGCCAGGAATACCTGCATTGTTTATTCTAAACTCTATTTTGAAATTTGTGTGAAATTGCCCAAATTACCAATTTCTGATCACTTTATTGGGTAGTTGAAATAATTGATTAGGCAATTTCTTGTGCTCATTCGATAAAATGGAAGAATTTGGTTAACTGGAACAGTGTAGTTGACAATCGCCAATGCTTAAATATTGCTGACATGGCAAAATTCGCGAAAGCGTAATTTCATCATTTTCCATCAAATTTTGTGCTTTTTGTTTTATTTTCATAAGAAAAATAATTTTTTTTTTAAATTCATGGATGTTGTGGACAGGTTTCAGACCGGGGATCTGGACAGTGAAAGGGTTAATCAGACATCCCATTAAACGTTAATGTTAAGCCTTTGTTTGGTCACATTTTTTGTCTGTTTTATCTGACATCCACTTTACGGGGGTCAGTTTTATCAGACTTTTACTGTGTATTTATAAATTTTTTAAGTTTTAAAGTAGAGAATTATTTTTGGAAACTTAGGTTTCTGTTATTATGGTTATGCTGTTTTTCGCATGCTTTTCATGAAAACTAATATACTAAGTACAACCTAGAAAAAAAAATTTTTTTTTTAGTATGTATATTTTCTCACTTTAATGTCATTGTTTATTCTCCACAGATACAACTCTGGGGGCAAATGTTTCTCTCAGATCCACACTAAGCACTTGACTGTTACTATTGATGCGTTTACCATTCATAATTCTCTCTGGCAGGGAAAGCGTGTGAACCTTCCCTCCAAAAAGGACATGACTCTTGTTATTTAAGTTTCCTGAGAAAGCAGCTTCTCGTTTACTAAACCCACATACAGTATATTTTGGTACTCATGCATACACTGCGAGAATGTCATGTGTGGCTCTGCTGCTCCAGTTGGTCTCTTACCAAGAGATATTGATGAGCATTTTTATACAATATTAATTCTGACGATAGATAATGGTATGCTACTCCTGAGGAAATCTCTCGTGTGTGGGCTTACAGAGTTTCGAGAGGCTAAAAATTTTCTTATGTACTGAGGAATTCCTCTCAACGGGTGAATTTTTTAGGATAAATAAGCCATTTTATGTGTGAGACAGCAAGCCTTTTCCTCAGCCTTTGCTCACACAGTTCCCCCAGTACTAGCCTTAAAGCATTTAAAGGTTTTGGTTGTGGCTCTGTTGGTCAGTATAACCAATTAGTCAGGTTGTTTACAAAACAGAATTTGTTATCGGTTGCTCTGGTCTTTAAAGGGTTTGGTGGTTTATATGACTGCAAGTTTATGGCAGCCTTCTCCACTGTGCTAGAAGCCATTTCATTTTAGAGGATATGAAGAAAGGTTTATAAAGTTAGGGAATAAAATGTATTTAGAAGTTTTAATATGATTTTCAAAGTAGTAAATAAATTGACATCAACCTCAGATGTGACTTGAACTGAAAGTTGACTTGATATCCTGCCATTAGCAGCCTTCATTTATAATGTTCTGTTCAACAGTTATTTGGAAAATTCCCTATTGCAAGTCAAAAGTAAGATTATTAGAAAATTATGGGTACTAGGATGTGATTTTTTTCTGTAGATTTTCAAAGATTAAAGGGTTGGTGGTCATTGGTCACTCCTGTATTCTGTGTAAATCTTTGAAAAATGTTTATTTAGTGGAGGGGTAATTCTGGGTTATATGCTGTATTTCCTCCATGAAATTTCTCGATCACATTCCTGTTGCTGGGTTAGTACGTGTTAGGATTTTATTTAAATCAGACCTTATTGATAAGGGGTGCCATAATGTCAAGACTTAAAGGTTAATGTGATGATTGTTACTTAAACGGTTTTTGCAACCATTGAAATGCAAACAACAGCATGAATTTGAAGATGTGAGGTCAGCAGGGCATATAATTTGTTTGCAGTGTTAACTAATGCAATTCCATATAACATTCGCTTCTCGTACTAAATCTGTGATTCTTGTGATCGTTAGGTAAGATTTGCATCAGGCATATGTAAGTAGTATCTCCATGTATTTTTTAGAATGTATGTAGGTTAAAGGAAAGGAAGAATATTAAGGCTAAATAATGCCTGCGTTGGAGCTAGCCTTGCTTGCATAATCCTGACGATACAATTAATTCCAACTTGTTTAGATATAAATTATAGTGTTGAACTTGTATATATTAGAATGTGATAGGGGAACAATGATGCTGGATTGTGGAAACATTCCTCTTTTTCCCCAAATACTCACAAAGAGACTGTATATCTGAACAAAAGATTTCCATAAGTTTGAAGAGTTTCCGTAGCTTTTGTACTAAGGAATGTTTATTTTATTTTCTATTTTCTTTTTGTGTGTGTGTATGTTATCGTCTTGTAATCAAACTGTTAAATACCTACCACTTTTGACATTTTTATTTCTTCATTGATATCATCTCATATGTTAATACTTCGTTACATTTTAAATCCATTCAATATTCTCCAGTTAAAAAAATTGGTTACAATAAATGCAATACTAGAAAAGCTGACACTTAAAATATATACTGGAGAGAGGGTGCTCATACATTCAGTTATGTATATTAACTAATGATGTATATGGTATGAAGATTAACACAAAGCTAATGGCGACCTCTAGGCTAGCGATATCCTGTTGTCACATTAATGGCATGCAGTGTGAAATTACCCATTTGTTTGTATGCATGTACTTACCTATTTGTAGTTGCAGGAATGGAGCTTATGCAAGTGGTGTCCTGTCCTTTATTTTCCAGTATCCTTTTTTTCTGTTGTATCTTTCATTGTTTAAAGTCAGCCTCTTCTCTGTTACTGATACTTTATATCACTTTTATTAATTTATTTGTAGATATTACTAACCCTTGTTGTTTAGCGCTTCGTTTTGTTTATAATAATAATTGTAGATATTACTTATCTGCTGCTTAATGAAACCCTTTTTAGTGTCATTAGTCTGTCCAGTGTAACTTTCCTCAGTTCGGAAATCCTCTTTTAATTATACTCCTTTATTAATGTTCAAATACCACATCACAGCAGCATATTCTAATTTTGATCTAATATATGCTATAAAAACAATCAGGACTTTGACTTTAGTAATGTTGAAAACTATTTTAAATTGGCATATAAAATCAGCATGCTTCTTACTACTCCAGTTATGATTTTCTATTGTTGATTTGCAATTGCCTCAAGATCATTAACAAACATCTTCAAAAACCACATTACAGTTTCATCCATTTCCTTTGTGTGTAATTTCCTATTAAGTGTTTCCAGGCGTTTAGCTCTTGGCTCTGTTTTTTGCAATTCAACCAACTGAACAGGAAATATCTCATATCTGCTTTTGAACCGCTGCATGAATTTGGCTTGTGCAATCTCACTTCGCAAGTCATTGCATTTTTTTTTCTTGCTTTATTACTGTTGTTTGTTTGCCTAAAGATGAGAGGCTCATGTCTTCTATCCTTTCTTCAAAGCTTATTTCTACTCAGAACCAGTCTCATGGTCTTGAACTTTCTCAAAGTTTCACCTGCTGCTTGATTAAGCAAAGGTTCTATACTGGCACTCCAAATTGCTGAAGTATCTTTATAGCCTTTTCTCATTGGCAAGTCATATAAAATGGGAATAACTTGGAGCCCCTGTACTAGTCCTTGATTTACTTCACTAGTTATTCTTATCCTGATGATGCCTTCTCTGTCACAGTATTGAAGGCTTTATTGCACAACGAATATCCAGTCTGTAATTGTGTTTGTGTATTAAGCAGTTATTATCATTCCTGAACGTATGCTGTTCATCCATTTGGAATTTTGTTTTAATAGATGTTTGACATAAGTTTTAGAGAGGCTTGTTTATAATTCAGGTATTAGTATAAAAATTATGTTCATAAGAACATTCAGCATTTAGGGGTCATACTGTGCCTATTAGGTACTGGTATTCTTTTCTGACATTTTCTTAAATTGCTATGGTGTTTGCCATTTTCTAACCTTGTAGCATTTTGCCTGTCCCTAATGATTTAGTGAAAAATCTGAGTGAAAGTATACAGTATTTTAACTCGTGGTATTTATGCTAACATTTCTTGGAAGTGCCAGGCTCCATTGGTATTCCCTTCACTACCATCTTCAATACCTGTCATAGCCCAAAAGAAAAACTGAATCTTGAGCTCATTGTATGCTTCAGTCATTTAGTGCAGATATTCCTACCTTTTTCCATAAGGTTACCACCTGATTATTTTACTTGTATGGCTATAAAGTAACTTTGGTTCTGTTTGCCATAAATGCTGTATGCATGGATATGTACTTGGCTAATTATTTGTGGGTATTAGGCTCCAGCTGTTGGCTTTACGTAAAGCAACTGTTAGTGTAATGTACCCTGTATCCTATGGTCTTTGTTGTATTTGTGTGATTGCACATATGCATGGGTTTTTCATGAATTTGCATATGCTTATCAGTGGAGTATATTTTCTTAGTGTTGATTATGCTCCTACTGTTTAAACAAAATTGGTTGCCATTACTGTTTAAACTACTAATTGTGAAATGGGAATGTATGCTATTAGTGATACAACAGTGTAAAGCACACTACAGAGTGCCTAGAGGAGTTCACCTTTACAATGAGAGATCCATAAGGGAATGCATAGCCAGGTCAGATGTAAATTATAAAACAGGTAGCTGGATTAATTTAAAAATCTTCATATGGAAGAATGAATTTGACTTCTGGCAGTCAGCTGCTGTTCATTGGGAGGTTGTTTGCTTGAGATAAAGGTCATTACATGTAATGTTTCTTCTTCAAGTAGATGGTTTTGTAATGAATTTAAGATGTCCAGCTATTTAATGTTTGTAATTATTTACAAAATACTGCTTACAATGACTTCAGCACCTGGATGAGTTTTATGAGCAAGCTTTAGACATATTGTCTAATAAGGATAGATTTTGGGTCTCTGAATGTCAAGGTGAACAAGTTATCCCTTGCTGACTCCATTTGTTTTGATTTAGTGTGACCATGTGTACATACTGTTTTATATTTATTCCCAACATCTCAAAATGGGGTGGGCTTATAGAGAACTCCAATGTCTGCTTGTTATTAATGATAACAATAAATTCAGTCTTTTTCATAATTAATGTTTTATTTTCCATTAAAATTAACTCCACAGGACAAATGAATAACACGTTAAAATTAAGTTCGTGCATAGGACCTACGTAGTGGTAGCATGAAGTTGCACTTTGATTATTATAAAAAAAAATGAAGGGCTGTGCACTTTGCAGTTAATTTGCTTGTCCTTAGTGGGAACATTGTTTCTTTAAAAAATAAGGGATTTAGGTTCTGAAATTCCCATAGGCTTGAATACAAAATGGAAGTAGTTCAGGGGTAACTTATATTTTGAAAGGTGGTGTGAAATTCCCATAGACTTCATGAATAGAAAATGGGACTGCATCATAGAAAATGGAAGTATTTTAGGGGTAACTTATATTTTGAAAGGTGGTGTGAAATTCCCAGGGACTTTATGAATAGAAAATGGGACTGCATCACAGAAAATGGAGGTAAATAAGGGATAACTTTTATATTTTGAAAGGTGGAGTGAAATTCCCATAGACTTCATGAATAGAAAATGGGACTGCATCATAGAAAATGGAAGTATTTTAGGGGTAACTTTTATATTTTGAAAGGTGGTGTGAAATTCCCAGGGACTTTATGAATAGAAAATGGGACTGCATCACAGAAAATGGAGGTAAATAAGGGGTAACTTTTATATTTTGAAAGGTGGAGTGAAATTCCCATAGATTTCATGAATAGAAAATGGGACTGCATCATAGAAAATGGAAGTATTTTAGGGGTAACTTTTATATTTTGAAAGGTGGGGCTGTATAGCCCTTGTGGCTTAGCGCTTCTTTTTGATTATAATAATAATTGAAAGGTGGTGTGAAATTCCCAGAGACTTTATGAATAGAAAATGGGACTGCATCACAGAAAATGGAGGTAAATAAGGGGTAACTTTTATATTTTGAAAGGTGGAGTGAAATTCCCATAGACTTCATGAATAGAAAATGGGACTGCATCATAGAAAATGGAAGTATTTTAGGGGTAACTTTTATATTTTGAAAGGTGGTATGAAATTCCCAGAGACTTTATGAATAGAAAATGGGACTGCATCACAGAAAATGGAGGTAAATAAGGGGTAACTTTTATATTTTGAAAGGTGGAGTGAAATTCCCATAGACTTCATGAATAGAAAATGGGACTACATCATAGAAAATGGTAGTATTTTAGGGGTAACTTTTATATTTTGAAAGGTGGTGTGAAATTCCCAGAGACTTTATGAATAGAAAATGGGACTGCAATCACAGAAAATGGAGGTAAATAAGGGGTAACTTTTTTTATTTTGAAAAAGGGGGGAGTGAAATTCCATAGACTTCAGAAAGAAAATGGGACTGCATCATAGAAAATGGAAGTATTTTAGGGGTAACTTATATTTTGAAAGGTGGTGTGAAATTCCCAGAGACTTTATGAAAAGAAAATGGGACTGCTCACAGAAAATGGAGGAAAATAAGGGGTAACTTTAATATTTTGAAAGGTGGAGTGAAATTCCCATAGACTTCATGAATAGAAAATGGGACTGCATCATAGAAAATGGAAGTATTTTAGGGGTAACTTTTATATTTTGAAAGGTGGTGTGAAATTCCCAGAGACTTTATGAATAGAAAATGGGACTGCATCACAGAAAATGGAGGTAAATAAGGGGTAACTTTTATATTTTGAAAGGTGAAGTGAAATTCCCATAGACTTCATGAATAGAAAATGGGACTGCATCATAGAAAATGGAAGTATTTTAGGGGTAACTTATATTTTGAAAGGTGGTGTGAAATTCCCAGAGACTTTATGAATAGAAAATGGGACTGCATCACAGAAAATGGAGGTAAATAAGGGGTAACTTTTATATTTTGAAAGGGGGAGTGAAATTCCCATAGACTTCGTGAATAGAAAATGGGACTGCATCATAGAAAATAGAAGTATTTTAGGGGTAACTTTTATATTCTGAAAGGTGGTGTGAAATTCCCATAGACTTCGTGAATAGAAAATGGGACTGCATCATAGAAAATGGAAGTATTTTAGGGGTAACTTATATTTTGAAAGGTGGTGTGAAATTCCCTGAGACTATGAATAGAAAATGGGACTGCATCACACAAAATTGAGGTAAATAAGGGGTAACTTTAATATTTTGAAATGTGGAGTGAAATTCCCATATTATTATTATTATAATCAAGGGGGAAGCACTAAACCCGGAGGATTATACAGCACCTGGGGGGGGGGGAATGTGGAAGGCATTCAGGCTTAATTCGGGGAACTGGAGCACAGATCCAATTCCCTAAATCAAGAGCCCCTCACCAACATCAAGGAACCTTCCTTGAGGGGAAATTCCCATAGACTATGAATATAAAATGGGACTGCATCATAGAAAATGGAAGCATTTTAAGGGTAACTTTTATGTTTTGAAAGGTGGAGTGAAATTCCCAGACTATGAATAGATTATCATTATAATAAAAAAGAAGCGCTAAGCCACAAGGACTATACAGCCTATGAATAGAAAATGGGACTGCATCATAGAAAAATGTAAGTATTTTAGGGGTAACTTTTATATTTTGAAAGGTGGAGTGAAATTCCCAGAGATTTTATGAATAGAAAAATGGGAGTGAATCACAGAAAATAGAGGTAATTAAAGGGTAACTTCAATATTTTGAAAGGGGGAGTGAAACTCCCAGAGACTATGAATAGAAAATGGGACCATCACAGAAAATGGAAGTATTTCAGGGGGTACTTCGATGTCTTGAAAGGTTTATTACAATAAAATTTAACGCCAAACTCACTAGGGTCTTACAGTGCTGCTGGGCAGGGGGGTGATGCCTGATCACAGTATAAACAAGGATAGATGGGGTAACAGAGATAGGAAGGGCTGCGAGGAGTGCTAAAGAAAGTATTTTCAAAGTTTGTGTAATAAATCAATTGCTGTCAAAGGCGAGGGCTGTCAGCAAGGAGGGAAGATAAAGGGCGTTAGATTATTATAATCAAAAAGAAGCGCTAAGCCACAAGGACTATACAGCGCTGCAGGGCAGGAAGGAAGCGAGGGCATCAGGTGGCAAAAGGGAGATGGATGAGTAATAGGTTACGGATAACAGCGCGGGTAGTGGATGTAAAAGGGTAAAGGGCGCAAGAGCATCCACTTCCCCCCCCCCCAAAAAAAATAAAAAAAAAAAAAAAAAAAAAAAAAAAAAAAAATAAAAAAGGGCTGGGGGAGTGCCAAAAGTCTCATCAGAGTTTGTGGAGTAAATCAGTCATTGTCACGAAGTCATGAGAGAGTATGGATACAGGAGGGTCCATCAGCCAAGAAGGGAGGGTAAAGAGAGTGTAGTAGACGAGACGCGTTTGGTGAGGTAAAAATTCTGCATGCTCGTTGATAGAGAGGGCGTCAAAAAAAAATGTGGTAATCGAACTGGAATTGACACTGCCACAAAGGAACAGGGTGCCTCTCCATGAGAACCCATGGTAAGACGGGTGGGCCAATGCAAGGCAAGAGGGTCCCCAACCTGGGCACTGTGACAAAAAACGGCAGAACCTATGCTCGGTTAATAGAATGAAGTTTTTACCGACAATTACCAACTTTTTGCCAACGGTGCGAAGGTGGGGCTATTGCAGCAAAATAGTCCAAAAAAGGGAAACACCCGATAGGAAATTGGTAGGTCAAGTACGCTACCGCGCAGCGTGCTGCCTGTTCATTCCCTGAAATCGACTGCCCAGGGCCCCAACAAAAAACAATATCTTTATTTGGTAGAATACGGCGTGCCAAATTGAACGGAAATAGGGATGAGAGAAATCAAATTTTTTCGTATCCCTGTAAGACAAGGAGTTGAGACTACAAAAAATATACACAGGCATAGATGCATACGAATAAGTGCGCAAAAAAGGCAACATTTTCACAGAAAAAAGCTAGCTGAAATGTAAATGCCCCCGTACGCCGTCCGGAAACATGCTGCGAATCCGACGCCGTCTGGACTTAGAGCCACTTGTATACAGCGGTGGCAGAAAATGGGAGTGAAAGGACAAAAAAAAGAGAGGGGGAAGCCACCAAGCAGTTGAGCTTTCGAGCAAGGATGAGAAAGAACAGACCCGAACAGCTGAATTTCCCCAGGGGGTGGGAAAAAAGTGAGACTACATAACATATAAAGGTGGTAATAAAAGGGAAGACAAGATGAATGTGGGCGAAGGAAAAGGAGGGAAAAAACAGGGGGGGCGAACGAATAAAAAAGTCTACAAATTGGGTCCCATTCATAAATGGAAGGAGTGTAGATCGTAGAGCGTACTAGTAAACGAAGGCAATGGGCACCCACGGCGATCAGACAAGGATAAAACTTTTGCTTGTATAGAGGTCTCAACGGGGGAAAGCGAAAACACCAGGCCAAACGTAACCCTTTGGTGAGGGTAATTTAAAGGCAAGAGATAGCAGGGGGGCCGCAAAATAAATCTGGCCCATAATCGATTTTCGATAAAACGAGGGCTGATGTAAACCCAGGTTCGCACCTCCCCAGGAAAAAGACAAGGGTTTAAGAAGGTTTTAGCCGGGCTGTGACAAGTTCCCTTTCAGAGAGGTAATGTAGGTTTCCCGGGTTAACCACGGTCAAAGAGAAGGCCTAGAAACCGACTGTATACTTGGGGGATAGGGGAGCCATAGAGATAAAAAGGATCATCGGAGATAACAAGCGTCGTGAAAGTAATTTGGTGAGTTTTGGTATTTAAAAAAATTTAAACCCATGTGTGGGGGGCCCAAGGGGAAACAGGGTGACCGCATGCGGAGAAACTGCAAAAAGGGACAGTCAGCCCTGCACAAGCAATACGAAGTCATCAACATAGAGTGAGCCCAAATTTGGGTGGAAGAACAGGGGCCAAAATTTATAGAAAGGGAGAAAAAGGTTGTGCTTGAACCTCCCTGGGGGACCCTTCAGTTGGACAAGTCCGGGGAAAAAACATTTTTGACTCGAACCGGAAAGTCTGTCAGTTAAAAAGTTTTTAAGGAAGGATGGTAGTTGCCTCGGAGGCCAAAAAAAAGGGCCTGGGCCAAAAATTAAC